TTAGCCTAGTAGACCAACTGTTAGAGACAGACGTATCATTTTTATGGAATTATATGATAATCATATTCAGATTTATATAAGCATTTTACAAGTATTGCAATCATTGAGTAGAGATAATCATGGTATTTTCATCAGCTTGGTACTTTTTGAAACATGACTGTGTCGTGTAAGCAATCTGCAATTTTTCAAGGCATGACAACTCGCCCCCACCATTCGATTTCCAAACCCCACCATTCGATTTCCAAACCCAAACCGAGGCCATTCTGCTCGATATTGGGCCCAAGACAAGTTTTGCACCTGGCACAAAGCAGGACCTTCTCCCACCCCAGCGCTCCTGGGAGGAGCCGCCGGTCGCGCCCCGGCTGGCGCCACCCAGCAGCGCCCAGGAAACACTTCCAGGCACCATTGAAAAATTGCAGGTTGTCTGTGCATATGTTTGGACTCTTTCCATGTTGTCCTGTTTACAAGTTAACCTAAGTTGGGGTGTTTGTCACGGGTCTTCTTGGTTTTGTATTTAAATAAATAAACGCGGCAAAGCGTCCCGCCAGGGGTTTGCTGCAGGTAGTTATATCCTCATGTGTAACGTGCTGCCACCCGGCCAGCACCTTAGTAAATGATCAACTCACCGCTGTGAACCTGCCAACTTGCTATAACAACTCTGCTTTAAAAAAAGTGTTTGTGATCAGGCTTTCTCTTTGTCATCGTATGTGCATGCAGTATGATCAGTTGAACAATAACCATCAATAAAGTTTCACAAGATTTGAAAACGAAGTTTCTGTAGCATTTATATCTAAGGATGATAAATAAATTATCTTTAAAATTGAAACAGAGAGAGAAAGAGACTATATTAATCGATGAAAAATGGGGCAGTAACATATATTTATACTGGTGAGGGAATGAACCGAAATTTATTAAGAGTTCGATCCCCACATTTATTATGTAAGATATGCAAAACAAGCCTCCTGTTAATAAAAAGAAAAAGTAAATTTTGTTTAAACACCGTGATGAAAGCAAATTGAAAAATGTTTACCAAATGTTAGGCTTCCAATTTAAAGTGTGGATGAGACATCGTTTTTGGAATTGCACACACAAAATGTCTAATGTAGAGAATAACAGAATTTATTTGCAATTTTAATTTTCCTGAGATGGCTTTACAGCTCCCACTCTCCAAATGATTATATGGCGTTTTAGTCTATTAAAATTATCTTGAAAGGTTGAGGGTGCAGCCCATATTAGAAAATATTTTGTTTATAAAACTCCTACAGTACTCCTAGTAGTCATTTTAAAATGTATGTCTGAAATAGTTATGTAAGAAAAGCATTTGAAATTTTTTTACAATATATATTGGGAATGTTTTCACTTATATAAATAACTACTGATAATATGACTTATGAAAAAATTATTACTACCATATGTGGAATATAGTGACTTCTAAACAGATTTAAAAAGAAAAAACCCTACAAACCCAGAAAATGTGTATATCTGTCTTTAGAAATTAGTGTTTATATCACAACCGTGATTTGTGAATAAAGAAAAATGGTTTGTAATATCAAAATAAAAGCTTAGTCTGAAAAGGTACAAATCCGTTGGTGTTCCAAGTCATTTTGCTTTCCCTGCTCGCAGTGTGGGTGCCAGGGCTGTGCCCACGGTGTGCCCCAGAGCCCTGCCCGTGGGGCACGGGGCTGTTCCTGCTGGGGCTGGTCCCACCGGTGCCAGCCCTGCCCCTGGGGTGTGTGGGGGCTGCTTGCTGTCCATGTGTCTGTCCCCATGTCCGTGCCCAGCGTGGGACAGCCAGCAGGGCACTGGGTCAAGGTTTGCTGCCAAGGATGACAACTTCCACCACCAGCATCAGCTCTGTTTTCCAGGCAGCACTGCATGATGCATGGGGAATAACTGGGGTTTGTTCACAGGGGTGGAAAAGGAATCTTCCACACTTCAGATGCCGGTTATCCTCCCACTGAGCTGTCCCTTTCATGGCCAGAGCCTGTTTCTGTGCACAGCAGGGGCAGGGAGGCAAGCAAAGATTGCTCTTCCACAGGCTCCTCCTGGCACTGCCAGCCTTGTTGCCCAAGCCACAAGAAAGGTGTCCACATGCTGTAGTTCTATGTCCATTAGCCCAGCAGGTCCAGATGAGGCTGCTGAGAGTACCTTGTGCCATGTTACATGCCTGCCAACAGAATTATTTGACTCTTCTACCTGGGTTCCTCTTTTACTCTAATTTAGCAGAGGAAGACAAGACAGAGAGAAGGGATTTAATATTGCTTGGGTTGCAGTTTAGCAGGAAGTTTTAATTTACCAAGTGCCTGAATCCTTTCAGGAAGCTAAAGAGAAGAAACCTTGATATTTGCCAGGAATGGTGGGGAGATAATATGCTGTGCCTAATTTAAATCTTTATATGACATAGAAGCACTAAACGTCCAAGTGCACTTTCCTGCATATCAGGCATGATGGATGCATTGCACTGCTTCCCTTGGTGGCTGGATGAATGACTGAGGTGGAAATGCTGGGTAAGATTTGGGCTGAAGGCAGGCAAGAAGCATCTTGGCAGATAAACACAAGTGGGACATATAGACACACATGGAGAACCTGAAATGCCACTTGTTTTTTACATGATTGGATTCATCTGCTTCTGTCTGGTATCATTACTTATGTCTAATGCAGTGGTGCTTCTTTTCTTGGCCAACACATTCTAAATTAATAAAAACTTTGTTGAACAATTGGCCACAGAATGAGGAAGGCCCCACATGTAACCAAAAGACAAAAGGCAGTCATCTTTGCAGGGTATTTTTACTCCAATTATTTAAAGTTCCTATACAGCTTTAATTGTCTAGCTAAAATTAAATTAAAGCCTCACAGAAGATCTTAGAGCTGCCCCTGTGTAGGATGTTCTGTACTACTCTGTCCTTGGTCATCTTTTTGGGCAATCAAGTTATTAGCTTCTAATTTGGGTAAAATTTTAGGATTTTTTTTAGCTAGAATTTAATTTTCTTTAACTTTCTGGGAACCTTGTCTTCAGTTTCAATTGCTGTCATGTCATATTGCTGTTTCTTGCCTCAAGTGATTTTTTTGCAAGTTTGACATGTTCCTCTTGCCACATTTTTTCAGTTTTACAGTACAGATGCATGAGGAAAAAAGGCTGTGCAAATCATTTCCTCCCTAAAAGTAGAGCTGAAATACCATCATTTTGGTAGGTGCAAGGGAGAGAAGAAAGAAGAAGGAAAAAAGTAAAATAAAAAGTAACCTTGTTTCAGTGGGAAGAGATGATTCGAGTGGGAGGTGAGATCAGAAGGGAGACAATGATTTTGGGAGGTCTTTGAAGAACTTATGAAAGTGTCATCAAAAAGAGTCATTTTCCAGTATTATAAAAGTTTATCTTGATGCTTCATTTATACCTAAAGGGCATATGCTTCACCTCTCACTGTAACAGGAGCTTTATGCTGAGTCTTTCCAGACTTTGCAGGCAGCTTTCATGCCTCTGCAGCACTTCCCCAGTGCTCTGCATACCAATAATTATCTCACAGCACTTCACAAAAAGCACAGTGGACGTGGACTAGGATCAGAGGAAGAGATGGGCAGTATATGCCAGCATACCATCAACTTGAGTCTTTTCCTGAGGTAAGACAGAGATGAGCACTGGGAGGTAAAATATTAGAAGTGCTTTTAGATCCAAGAGCTCATCCTTATTTTCTCAAATGGAAAAGAAAGGTTTTTATTTCATGCTGTATTTAATTCAGGTGTATTTCCTGTATGCACACAGAGGATGAGTGCCATGCCATGGCAGTGTAGTTGTGGCAGGGATGTGACTCCCTGGCTAGGACACAGCTGCTGCTGGCAGCAGGACAGTGGAACACACAGTTGCCCACCTGTGAAGGGCAGATACTTAGAATGATATCCATGAAGGGACCTGGAAATAACAATGTCATTTGAGGTGTCCAGGCAGGCAGCATTCAGGGCCAGAAGCTCCCGCTCAGCTGCTGTTTAGCTCTCCACAGGAGATGCTTTCACTCTTCAGGTTCCTACATCATGTCCTGCCAGGGCACTCAGGGTAGGTGACCTTGCTTTGTGTGCTTTGCAGTGCCTGGCAGGGCACAAGGAATGATTTTGGTGTGGAAGGGAGGAGACTGCCATGCCCACTGACATCATGTTCAAGGCATTCACAAATGGATGTTGGAGATTGCTTTTAGAAGTCTTCTCTTGGCTCAATTTATGCAGGATTTTTTTTCCACATGTAGTGGTTGTGAGAATATTGGGTTAGGTTGTTCTCAATTCCTCTGCTAAAGATGCTCCATTTACCTTAAATAATTATTAATTGAGAAACACTTCTAGAGTAGCCTGCTGGCTGGGACTCTGCCCTGGATTCACATCCCAGTGAGTAAATCCTGCCTCCATGGCCCCACTGCTGGGTTAAAGGGGATCAGGTGACAGTGGTGTCCCTTCTCCATCCCATAGGACACACTGGCTCCTCATAGCTCCTATTCCAAAAGGGATTTACAGCTGAAAATCCAAACTGGAGGAAAGCTTGTTGTGAAGGTGCTTTAGAGCCCCACAGTTTGCTCTCTTAGCTCTTCACTTTACCCTTTACCCTTCACTGACTGGGCAGCCTCTTTGCTGGCCAATTTAATGATTTCACTCTTTAACAACAGGCTTGTGAGTCTGGAGTTCAGGATGTAAGAAAACTGTTAAATAAAACATAAGTGAATGCAAAAATAATCATTTAATGGACATTATGAAAGGACAGTAAACCAAACAGTTCAGTCCAATGGATGATGTATAACATCTAAACAAATATGACAACTAATTAAGGATTAGGTTCTGTGTTTTGGATGACAGGCCTTATAAAAATGAACAGCTAGGTTATGTTGGGAGAAAAAAAAAAAGCTGCATTTTGCAAATGTCAGGCAGACAGCTCAGTAAGCAGAAAAGCTCAGTTATCCAATTAAAATAAATGTGCAGTGTTCTCAATATAAAGAGCTAAAGCATCCTTATGTCGAGGAGTTAAGATGCTGAAATATAAGTGGAACAAAAAGTGCTCTCTATAAAGAATAATGCAATCTATCAAGATTAACATTTTGCATGCTGGCAAAGGCAGATAGTAATGTGTTTCAATTCCTGAAATTGGAAACATTAGACTAAGATCAGTACCAATTTAAACCCCAGGTAACCCCAAATATTGAATTGAATTAATTATTTACAACCACAAAGGGCTAATAACTTGCCCTGATGCCTTCTATGGGAAATAGATATTTACAGTAGGTGCTCTCCTATTCCCCATAATCCTCCCTGGTACTTCATGTGAAATGTAATTACAAGTTGCCTAAATGCAATTTAGGAAAAAGTCTTCCACTAGAAATAATTCT